AGTGTCCAAGTGGCCTCGTCCTACCTGAACCTGGTTCAGACCAAGCTCGGAGGCACAGTTCAGGGTGTGGACTACACAAATGCTTACGAAGCCATCAACACCATCAACCACTGGGCGCTGGAGCAGACTGTAGACCAGGTCCAGGATTTCATTTCCGAAGTAGACCATCAGACCCAGCTGCTGCTCGCCGCCGTTACAGCCTACAGAGGTATGTATCATCTGCCAGAGGGCAGGACTTAGAGTGTTGAAGTAGTCCTGCGAGGCTCCACAACTCCACCTCCTCAGTCTTTGAACTAAGGTGTGACAGCTCTTTTGATTGTCCTGTGTTCTTGATCCACGCTCTGCTGGTACAAACACAAGCAGATAAACAACACCAATGAAAGTGTCAGAACGTTAATACCGTAGGTCACTAACAGTCCTGTGCATGACTGCATAAAGTTTCTGTGTGTTTCAGCAAGCTTCACTCCGCCCTTTAATGCGTCGTCCACTCAGGACGAGCGGTTCTATGTGGATAGCTATCATGTCGTCATGGTTCCGATGATGTTCAGGGCCGATAAGTACTTGCTGGCGTACGATGCTGCGGTGAAGGCTGGCGTGCTGAAGCTGCCGATGACAGACGGCGCAGCCATGTTGGCCGTGCTTCCCGATGAAGGTGTGGACGTCACCGCCGTGGAGGAGGAGGTTACGGCTGATAAGATCCAGGCCTGGATCCGCCAGCTGAAGAAGACGTGAGGCCCTCTTCTTTTCCTTTCCTTTCCTTTCTACCTTCTTTCCTCCCTCCTTCTTTTCCTTTCCTTTCCATCCTCCTTTCCTTTCCTTCCTTCCTTCCTCCCTCCCTCCTATACTGTTCTTCCTCCCACTGGCTTCTTCATTAAAACCAGGAAATAAATGTTCTTCTTTTGTAAATAGGAAATTGGAGGTACAGTTTCCTCGCTTTTCATTGGACCGTTCATACTCACTTAAGGATGCACTGCAGACTCTTGACATCACCCAGGTGTTTCAGGATGACGCTGACCTTAGCAACATGGGTGGAGCTGAAGGGTCCAAACTTAAACAGGTGAGTGTCTGCCACATTAAGAGCTGTTTGGATATGAGGCATCTCCACCTGGAAGGGGGTTGTGATGACATCAAAGGGCAGAGTTCAGAATAACATCTCTTTATGGCTAAACCTGTAATTCCAGGTGTTGGAGCTATTTATTCTTTATTTTTATTATTTTCGAAATTTGTTAAAGCTTGTTGTTGGTTTACTTATATTTTCGGGTTATTTGCTAGTTTAATTTGTAGGTTAATACTTCTTTTTCTTTTTTTGTTGTTGTTGTTTATCTTGTTAAGTCAGCTAGGAAGAACTCTAGGGCCATTTTCTGTAAGTAAAAGGACTGGTATAGGACTAGCATGCACTGGGGTGGGCCTATGGTTTTTACCAGTTTTTCCTTCCCACTGTTGCCAAAGTGGCATCATATGACTGTTGGATTTTTCTCTGTATGTATTATTGTAGGGTCTACATTACAATATAAAGCACCTTGAGGCAACCGTTGCTGAGATTTGGCGCTGTATAAATAAAATAAAATTAAACTAAAAAAAAAAAACAAGAGCCTGGAGCATCTAACATCCAGCCAAAAGGGGTAAAAAGTTGCCGGTCAATCACTTTTTGTGTGATCACAAGCGTCCCCTGGGTCATCCTCCTTTCTGAAACATAGGACTGAGCCCTGAACTGTGGTCAGAGGTCAGGAAGCCCTTTTCACCACCAAATTTCATAAAGGACTAGAAACCTTTTTGCCCTCAGTTATCTCCTTCAAGTTGCCATTACAGAGAATACAGGTTTAAGTCATTTCAGTGTTCGCTTCACTTTTCAGACCCAGACATTACGTCCATATTTTAGAGTGTCCATGGTCACAACAGAGATTTGATCACCTGATGATGACATCTGTGTTGATTTATTCAGGAAAGGTTTAAGGGTGTCGAACTCCAGGCCTCGAGTGCCAGTGTCCTCCAGGTTTTAGTTCGCACCCTGGGTTAACACACCTAAATCAAATGATTAGTTCATTACCAGGCTTCTGGAGAACTTCAAGAAATGCTGAGGAGTCATTTAGCCCTTTAAATCAGCTGTGTTGGATCAAGGACATATCTAAAACCTCCAGGACACCGGCACTCGAGGCCTGGAGTTGCCTACCCCTGGTGTAAATAATCGAGATTCTGCTGTGGTTTCTTCTCCACTCAGGTGTATCATACGTCCGTCATCTCCGTTGAAGAGAGCAGTGACACCAGTGCCGGAGATGCAGTGTTCTCCTCACCTCCTCCTCGACTGACATTCAACAGACCCTTCATCTTCATCATCTACCATCAAAGCACCAGTGGCCTGATGTTCATTGGCCGAGTCAACGACCCCACCTGCAAATAAATGGGCCCAAACACCAACCCAAGCCTCCATGGCGGAAAACAGTCCCCCCGTCCCATCTTCTAATGATGTCCTGTGACAAATATTAGCTAGATATATAACAGAGACTTACATTATTAATTCTGTTAGCGTCCCATTAGCGGCTTGTCTGTAACATTCTCTCTGACATCTGACTGTAACATTTTTATCATTATCAATAAGAGCACAGTCACACTAGGAAAAACAATGGTTGGAGATCACGGTGTGACCGTATGCAGTCACCTTGTGATCTTTGTGAAGCTTTGAGATGGTCACTTTGAAGACAGAAAGTAGTTATTAGAAGAACCACTCCTACTCAGTTGCTGTCTTCAGGCCAACATTGGTGGATTAAGATGTGATAAAGCGGTGATCAATTAGTAAGAAGATTTTCATATTTTGGCGTTCTGTATCCACAGTAAGAAAGCTTCGCTATGAGGGCATCTCTAAAGAATTACTAGGTAAATGGTTCTGGAGCTGCTATAATGGACCCATAAAGAAGAACAGACACACTCTTGAATGAAAGAATCAACACCCGTGGTCCATGGTGCTGTGATACAGAGCTGAGTCATTTTCATATTAATCCTCAGACTCTGAAAGTCTGCCATTGATCTCAGTGAATGGAGCAAGACTCCTTCCCAAGTTCACAGTTGAGGCGCGGCAGGAATGCAGAAGAAAAATCCTTCATCAAAGCGGTCTGTTTTCTTAAGAATCTACTGAGTATAAATTTTTATCACTTCTTTCTTTAAACTGGCCACATTTTCTGTTGTTGCAGTTTGACACATACATGGCACAGCTGGATTTAGTTCTTGTGTGGTAAACATTTGTCTTGTATTTGGAGAATGCGTAAGTCTTTGCACGCATTAATTGAACCCATTTAACATATTGTGATGTTCAAACATTCTAAAACACTGACATGGCCACATTAATAGCTGCATGTTGGCAGAGATACATTTTGCATTATGGCCTATTGAGGGAAGTAAAAGAAGGAAATATGAATGTAGCTCTGTGTGTGCGCACACGTTTTTGTTGTGTACTGATCTCTGTGAAGAATAAAGCCTTTTAAAGCCATTCTGCTCTAAAAGGCAATAGGACCTTGCATCCACAGTGTGTTGGGATTCTCCTTCTTCCTCTCCTTGATGGTCCATCAAGTTCAGTTTTGCTCAGTTTAAGTCAAATCCCAGTATTTGTCTTGATGCATGCTCAATCATCTAGTTAAGGAAATCCCCAAAAAGTTGATTCTGTTCGTCTGGACGTTTTCAGTGGGAGAAACGTTTCGTCATCATAAGGTGACTTCTTCAGTCTGAGCTGACTGCAGGTTTTCAACCTTATAAACAGTACATTTGCACAATAACTGAAACTAGCCCACTGAATTTCTCTCTGTGAATGGTACTCATGGCCGTTGATCAATAGTGGTTGACCAATGGTCATGACAAGTTGCATATAATTGATCAAGGAACTGACCTCGCAGCCCATTATTCAGTGGGCTAGTTTCAGTCATTGTGCAAATGTACTGTTTATAAGGTTGGAAACCTGCAGTGACTTGAGACTGAAGAAGTCACCTGATGATGACAAAACGTTTCTCACTGAAAACGTCCAGACGAACAGAATCAACTTTTTCGGGAGTCCCAGTATCACTGTGGAGCAGGGATATGTTAGGGTTAACGCTCAAAGTGAGTACTGAGTAAAGTGCGACAGGACAGAGCCAAAGTTTTAAGGCTGAGTAAGTTATCCATGTTGGCAATCTGTCTGTGTTTATAAGTTATATGATTGAGTGATAGGTTGCCGGATTACTTACAATCAGCCCCAGATGTGAAAAAAATTCAATGCAGTCATTGGCTGGTTTCTCCTGGTCACATGAAGGTTACTCCTGTTTTTTCCTCTAGTGTGACTGAGGCCATAGTTTCACAGAGAATATAGATAATATTCATCAGTAATTTCAGTAAGTTAGCTCTGATATTTTATTTTTGTTTGTTTTAACTGTTGTTTTTTCTATGTAACTTCTATGTGAAACTCTGATGTAGACTTCTCCATCAGCTGCACATTTTGTTTACAGCTGATTAGCATGTTGTGTATCCTGTGCTGTTGCATTTATGAAATATTAAACCTATTTAACGTGAATCCTCCGCAGTACTGATGTGTTCATAGGTGCTCACCTGTGGAAGAAGTATTCTCAACCTCCGCTGATGTACAAATATCAAGTAAAAGTACTGCATTACATGTAGGGTTTTTCAGTCCTGGTTTGTTCACCGTGACTGATGATTGATTATGTATGACTTTGTTAGATAATCAGTAAGGAAACGTGTTAATGCTGCAGGCGGAGTGGGATTGATATTCACTTTTTTCTGATCTTTGGATCATATGAACTTTTATTGAAATGACACTATGAGAGAAGCTCAGAGAAAAAAGTCACAGGACAGCAGCTGAAACCTTTTACCCAGGGGTGTCAAACTTAAATGAGCTGTGTGCCACTCCTGGCACTGTCGTCTCATTGGAGGGCCACTTTAATGTTCAAGTAGTACAAAACAAACAAACAAACAAGAAAACACCCACAAATATTTCCTAATATGTAGTGTTTGTTTGGTTTTTAAAAAAAATTCAAATATTGTATAACAAGACAATTTTTTTTCTCTCTCTTAACTGACTGAAGCCTTTCATTGAATGACCAAATAAACATGTTGGTCCTCTCTTTCTGGCTAGACATGTGGCAGCACTTCTGCTATCATTTTGTTCATATTTAACAGAATAAAAATGCAGTGTACACATTAGTTTTTGACTCTCACTGAACTAACACAGCCAATCCCTCAGCGTGTTTGTACTCTGGTCACATTGCCTTGCTGTCCATTTTTGGCTTTTTAAAGAACTTGTTTTAACATTGCACTCAACAACAAACAAATCCTCCCTAACAAAAAAAGTAACTTCACGGATCAAACTGCATTATATTTCTTCACATTAACATAGGGAGCTGCAAGTGGCCCCCGGGCCACAAGTTTGAGACCCCTGCTTTAACCAATAAGAACACAGCAACAATTTGTGGGTGGACTCTTTTACTGAATCAATCAGGTGGCAGGATGAGATCATCAGTCTACACAGTTCTCAATAGATACAGGTAGAATCAGACTCTCCTGTCTCTGATGAGGTCCTGATGTAATCTGGGTAATGTCCTGAAGCTGAATGGAAACTCTTTTCTGAATGCTGACTGGCTAATGGCCTGGTGGAGGTATGATGATGCCATCATCTTCAGTCTCGTCCCGATTGTACGCTGAAAGAGTTCGACTTCCTGTTTCTGCAAAATATGAGAAAATGAAACCAGATCAGACTTCTTACTCAGTAGCCCTGAGATCAGCTGATCAAAGGTCAATCAATAATCAATAACTTTATTGCTCTGCGTTCATCTGTATGGGCAAAGAAAACCGCCATCATGGTGGTTAGAAAATAAAAGGTGGGGCCTCCAAAGGAGCTGAATTCTGGATCATGGTGAAGGATTTATGTTTAAACTTTAAACAGGAGTGTAATGGGAAAAGACAATAAAGTGTAGATAAAAAATAAACTGTGGATCAAACAGTTTACGATGTGGTTCTTATCTCATGGTAATTCTGTGATGTCCACAGATGGCTGTTTCTGTCCTCTAATAGATTGACTACTGAAAACTTTGGACAGTCACCGAACTTTAAACCATTGTTTAATGTTTGCAAAGATTTAAACATCAGTAGATATTTGCCCTTACATTAACTGTCCTTACATTAACTGTATGGAGGAAGAAATAAATAACAGAGCTCTCTGAAAGTTATCCTCAATTATCCTCAAAACTGTTTGGTCCCAAAGCACCTGAACTCACTTTTTCTAATTCCATGTTGTGGAACAGGACCCAGGTTTATGCTAGAACAAAGAACTTACATGGATAGCTTCCTGGACTGGCCTTCCTTCATGCCGCACCCCCGATCCATTGTTTTACTGCGCTGATCCAAGGTACTGGTCCTGTGGTCTCTCTGCTCTAGAGTACTGGTCCTGTGGTCTCGCTGATCCAAGGTACTGGTCCTGTGGTCTCTCTGGTCCAATGTACTGGTTCTGTGGTCCATTATATTGTTCCTGTGATCCATGTTACCAGTCCTGTAGTCAAGTGTATTAGGCCTGTGGTCTCTCTGGTCCAGAGTACTGGCCCTGTCCAGGAGACTAGTAGTGTTGCTACGGATCAGGACTGGCATGGAGGAGGCAGACTGGGCTCCCATGCTGAAGTGAGCTGTCCTTAAAGAGTCATCTGTAAGAGACATGAAAACAGTAAAGACACTCATATAGAGACTGACTCTGAAGTTGATCAGGCCTGAGTGTCAGTAAGCTACCTTTACTGGTCAACATGGAGGCCTTCCCAGATGCAGATCCACTGCTCAGCTCTTTGACCTTCCTGAAACACACAATTGATAAATCAACTAGAATATAATGGACTTCTGGAACCTGACGCCAACACACCCATTCTCAAACCGATGGATGCATCAGAGTCAGGTTGGATTTTGGTGTCTTTACAGAAGATACATAACCATTACTGTTTTGAAAATGTGAAGCTGGGTGTGCTAGCTAGCAAAGTGTGGAGTAAGGTCTTTCTCAGAGCTTGTTTAGAGTTAAAAAAAAAGTTTCTAATTAAAAGAGCTAATTTTATACAAACCAACCTAAAAATTTTCCAACACACACAAAGACACTAACAAGATACATGTTCATCTGTGGATTAATCAGTGCCATAGAATTATAAGTCTTTACAGTCCAAATTAATGAAAATACAGTCCAAATCAAAAGTTTAAGACCACTTAAAAATGGCATAAAATCGCATTTTGCATTGTTGGATCTTAACAAGGTTCTAAGTAGAGCTTTAACATGCAACAAGAAGAAATGGGAGTGAGACAAAACATTCTTTGAACATGCAATTTATTGAAAACAACGCCTAAACTGAAACAGGCTGTTTTACAGCTGATCAAAAGTTTAAGACCACACCTGCAAAGAACCCCGTAAACCCCCCAAAACAGAAATCAAATTCCAAACATGAACTCAGTAATGAGTAGCTTCACCGTTATTGCTGATCATTTCAAATATTCGTTGCAGCATGCTTGATGCAAGAGTTTCCATGAGGTGTCTGGGACCATTCTCCAAGTGGTGAAGATGGCCACACGAAGGGCATCTACTGTCTGGAACTGTTGTCCATTTTTGTTAACTACCCTTGCCATCCATCCCAAAAGGTTCTCAATTGGATTTAGATCAGGGGAACACACATGATAGTTCAAAAGAGTGATGTTATTTTACTGGAAGACGTACCTTGTCCTGCGGACATTGTGTACTATAGCATTGTCTTGATGAAAAATACCGATCATTAGTACACAGACGAGTGCTCTCAGTCATGAAGGATGCTCTCTGCAACATCTGGACATAGCCAATGGCCGTTTGACGCTCCTGCACCTCCTGAAGCTCCATTGTTCCACTGAAGGAAAAAGCACCCCAGACCATTATGGCGCCCCCTCCACTGTGGCATGTAGAAAACATCACAGGTGGGATCTGCTTGTCATGCCAGTAATATTACAACCATCAGGACCATGAAGGTTAAATTTTTTCTCATCAGAGAATAAAACTTTCTTCCACCTTTCAATGTCCCATGTTTGGTGCTCTCTTGCAAAGTCCAACTGGTCAGTTCTGTGGCGTTCAAGGAGACGAGGCCTTTGAAGACATTTTTTGTTTTTGAAGCCCTTCAGTCTCAGATGTCATCTGATGATTATGGGGCTGCAGTCGGCACCAGTAACGCCTTAATTTGGGTCGAGGATCTTCCAGTGTCTTGATGGACAGCCAATTGGATTCTCCAGCTCAGTGCTAGTGAAATTTATTTGGGTTTTCCACTTGACTCTTCTGCTCCATAAATCTCCTGACAAAAAATGACAATGAATCCACATTTTTGGCCTTTTAAAGGCATGTGGTCCTAAACTTTTGATCAGCTGTAAAACAGCCTGTTTCAGTTTAAGCATTGTTCTCAATAAATTTAATGCTCAAAAAAATGTTTTGTCTCACTCCCATTTCTTCTTGTTGCATGTTGAAGTTCTACATGGAACCTTGTTAAGCTCCAGCCATACGTAATATGAGTTTTTGCCATTTTTCAAGTGGTTTTAAACGTTTGATCAGGATTGTATGAAGCAGGGACCCTGACATTACACACGGGATACTGAGATGGTGTCTACTGCTACCCCTGATAAGGTACCTGTTGAATATCATTTAGATAAGAAGGTATCGGGTCCGCGAAATCTTCAACGCACACCTCTGGAAGAGCTTCAACAGCATTCCGAGGGAGACTGGGGACATTGAATCCAAATGGACTGTGGGACTCCGGAGGCAGTCGACAGGTATCGACAGGCCAAGCGGAATGCGGCTCGGGCAGTGGCTGAAGCAAAAACTCGGGTGCGGGAGGAGTTCGGAGAGGCCATGGAAAAAGACTTTCGGACTGCCTCGAAGAGATTCTGGCAAA